ACACACACACACACGCTCATACAGACATAATGACCCATATCATAAATATAATAATCCAATCATGGCCATGTGCCTCCACAGTCTTTACGTCTGTATTCTGTGCAGTGAACCTTGACCTTCACTGCTGATGGAAACACCATCATCACCGTGGAAACACCTCTGTCAACACACTCACACACACCCACACAAAGAACACAACAACAAATATCCCACTGAGAGATTTCTTTATAAAAAAGGAAATTTGAGTTGACTTTGCATTGAACATGCGAACTGAAGAGCAGATGGTTCCTTTCACTTCACCACACACACATTTTCTTTTTCTTCTCAGAAAAAAACCAGACTCAACAACGGGCAACAGCTTCACGTGCAAATAAAAGAATAAATAAAAACATCATTTTATAAGTAATAAAAACCAACCTGGGGATTATTGTTTCTCAGCTCGTATTGGGCTGGAAGTTTCACCCTGGAGAGGATTTAACTGTATTTGTGAGGACCAAGGAGCGTTAATGCTATAAAGGTTATAATTAGGTAAAAGCACCAGAACCAACATTTATGTGTTGGGGATTTGGAAGGAAATTCATTTTGGATCCATTTGTTAAATTTTATGGTGGGAGGCTCTTATTTTGAAAGCAGATGAATCACATAGAAACAGACTAATTCTCCTGCACTATAAAAACTATATAATGTATTATTTTATTATTATTAGTGATGTTATGCTCTCTAGTGATGGTAGAGTTAAACTGAATACATTTTCACTGATATTTAAGTTAATCGCAGTCAACAGTCAGCGACTCTGACAGAAACATGGAATCTGTGTGAATGTTGAGGTTATTTATTTACACCCGTGTTAAATACCTACCTCCATACTTCATCTTAGCAGTGTACAACCTCTAGAGAAAGGTCATTATCGCTCTGCTACGGGGCAAAAAACAATTTTTGTCTGATTGTTTTTATTCCTTGGTCGACTTCTCTTAATAAGACACAAGCTCCTGAAAACATGACGGGGGAGGTCTAAAATATTGACAATATGCTATGTTTGCATTTCTATTTTTCGATATCTTCATTGTCATGGATTATATGTAAACTTTGTGCATGGGGGTTTTATCAATAATTCACTTCAGTTCATCAGTCTGGTTTTAATTAGTTATCTGACAATATAAAAAGTCTTAAAGCTGAGAAACAGAAACAGCAGTGAAAATGTTGAAATGGATAAAAAACAGTAAGACGTATTTGTAAGAAAAACCTGTCCAAAGTTGATTACTTGTCCCTCATTAGTGATACTGCTCGGTAATGGTGGATCGTTTACTTCCGCCTAAACTTCAGACCAGTTTATAGTCCACTTCCTGTTTCTAGTCTGGGTTCCAGTGAGGATTGTCAACGACGGTCCTCACAACAGCAGTACAAAGAGTGTGTGTGGTTCTCGCTGAGGAACTGACCTCACTGACCTCGTCAATAACGAGCTGTCAATGTGACTGACTGCTCCTTAGAAACCATTAGCACGTTAGCGTCCCTGCAGGTCTCAGTGTCACTCCAAAGAGACTGTAAATTCATATCTTACAGTTATTTTGTGAGCAGCTCGGTTAGAACCCAAAATTTCACCCTTTTTCTGTCACTGTGAAAGATCCAAACCAGCCTTTAGCTGAACCATCTTTGCTAACACTACAGCTAACTATACTTACGCCTGCATGGGAATTGAGTGTAAACTTTTAATCAAACATCTTCTTTAAAAACAATAATATTTTCCCTTTTTCTTCATTCAAGATCAAGATTTAACTCTAAAGAGGCCAAATCTCCCCGCATGCAGAGTTACCAGTGACTTAGCTTTAGCATTAGCTTTAAACTCATGAGAACAGCACTCTGGGAGAAATAAGGGCTGGTTTGAAACATTAACAGAATGTCGATGCATCCGTTTGAGGAGCAGCTGTCGGAGGATAACACAAATTGCTTTTTAAGGGAGAATCCACTAATGTCGGAAAAGCATAAATGAACACTGCAACATCATTCCTCTGAATGGTACTTTTTAAAAAAAGGTTCCTATAAACTGCCATCAATCAGAAATTATGCATTTTATTTCTGCACAGCCTGGCACAAAATCTGTGAAATGAGCATTTACAGCACTGTGACATGAAAAATAGATTCATCCATACAGAACGAACAGATCAATGCTGCTGATTCTGTGAATTCTGTGAGTGTGCAGAGACAACGTACCTTCAATATATTTATGGTTTTAGAGATTAGCTTTATTTTGGGCAACAAAAACATGAAAACGTCTTGTAGAAACTTCATTTTTCATGCACAACACACATTTCATCTCTTTTTAAAGCCAGCTGCTCATTTCACAAAGTTTCCTGACACCAGGCCGTTAATTTGTCTCCAACATGTCGCTGTGTCCATCTTCAGAACTGATAACTGCTTTTGCTAGAGTGTCGCTGCAAGTCATTTCAGTTTGTATACGGTACATTCACTGGAGCTCAAATTAGTTTTACAGACAGAAAACAACTTACAGACATTAACACAGATAATTCTGAACTTCTTCTTCTTCACAGTTTCACCGTAATTTCTAGGAAGAGTCCTGGAAAGAACTGTGTAATTCCGCTTTATATCTATTTAAACGTCTGATTATTGGAGACTTTATTCTCTACATATGTTGAACCGTATGCTTGCCTTTAGACAAATTATACATTTCTGCATGTTGAACTGACCCGCTGATTAAAAGAGCTTATGGCAGCAGTTCATTGGACTCTTCAACTGGAAGAGTATCAACTGAAAACTCCATGCTCCCTATATTTGGTACTAAATTAAACGCTTCATTTCAGGAAACATTATAGGAAATTATCAGGAAGTTGTGGATGTGAAATAAGGCTAAATGCTGTTTTTCTCTGTTTTATGGAAACAACACAGTCTTACTTCCAATCAGAATCTGATGCTGTAGGTTTCCCTCTGGACTCTGTTAGCAACAATAAATATATAATTAAAATGAATGTATAGGAATCAGCAGCCTGTACTATAGGAAGAGACATTTTTGGCTGCAAAACACATTTGAGTCTTATAATGCTAATTTATTGCCACAGATTCAGCAGAATATTCTTTTTTTAGATTTGGAATCCATAGCTGGCCTACCAAGGGAGACTGAAGACTGTAGTAGCTACGCATTTATACAACTGGAGAATGTAAGAATCAACAATGATAAATTAAAATGTAAACAAAAGAATTATTCATTTACGTATAATTTTTTGACAATGCGCTTTGGCTCTGTGATCCGCATCTTCAAATCCCACTGAGAGCATTTCAGAGCGTCTTCCTGCCCGACGTTGTTGACTTGTAAATTTTGTCCTTGTAAAGGAAACAAACGGTGTGTTTCTCTGCTTCAAATCTCCTGACTGACTTGATGTAGCATGAAATTCGATCCAGAGTCTGCACGCAGTATTTTTTTGTGAAAACTTTGACTTCCTGCCAGTGTGATCTGATCTGTTCTGCTTGACACGAGTGGGTGGCAGCTTCCATCAAAAACAGAGCAGCCGTAATTTAAGAGGAGCAGAGCAGTAAGACGCTTCTGGTGGGCTCTCGAGCATTGTCTAGATCAGTTCTGCCGACCGCAGTGGAGCCAGAATGCGTCGGTTTGCCCGGCAGAATTTGGGACTAAAAAGCCACAAGCGGCTCCAGAGCTGCAGCTTGCTGACCCCTGAGTTAGACTTTTACAATAAAACTGGCATGCACATTGCCAAATGGTCGCAGTTTGTTTAAGTTTAGTTTTTCTACTTGGTTCGCTTTAGGAAAAGATCCTAACTTCAGTGAGTTAACTTACACAAGTTACATCGTGAATCACATTTACAAAAAGTCCAAAAGGCAGAAATTAAAGTAACTCAGTTTTACAGGTTTAGTAAATATCCGTGTTTTCCCTTCCTACAATGTCCAAAACCTTGACAATAACACATCACATATCAGTTCATCATGGTGGTGCCCACTAACTCATTAACACCTGACACACCAAACAAGTCACATCATGCTTTAACAACTATATTTATCTTTTTAGTAAATGTTCAGAATAACGTCTGAATCGGGCTGCTCAAACAGCACACACCCTGTCTGCTGCAGCTCGAGGGGACATCAGATCTTTTGCACCGATAAATGAAGTTTGGGGACTGTGAGAAGAAAATCAATATTAATCAATATCACCGGTTGACAGCTTTTTCTCTCCAAACTCTTCAAGCAGCCTGTAGCTTTTTCTTTATTTGAGGGAGAGGAGATTAATGTTTCCGCTGAAATGTTCAATTTACGGTCCAAACCACAGAAATTGTACTCTGACTGGATGTTAGAGGATGGCAAGCAATCAGGGCTCAGACGTCACAGTCCATCAAACAGGGTATTTATCAAAAATTGTCAGTGCTCAGTAAGTTTCTGTTGCTATTTCTCGATTTAAAATCATTTTAAAACCATAATTTAACTCCTTTTGGGATTGATTATTGCAGCCTGAAGAGCCACACTCAGAAGGATATGATGTGCATTAGGTTTGGTTACCGAACTTCGGCACAGAATCAAAATTAAATAGATTTTTTTTTAATTCTCTTTTGAAAAATTTTTGTCTTTTGACCTATTGTCACTTATCCTATTTTGTATGGATGAATTTTGCAGTGCCACTGTGTGACCATAGCTTTATTAGCGCCACAACTGCAATGTTAGGAAGGAAACAGGAACAAACAAATAATATATCACTGATGTATGAGCACAATTGAAACGCAACATGATGCCACATTATTATTTTTTACTTAATTTCCCCTTGATACGTTGACATATTTATTTCTGTCTATAAACCAACAGTAAACAAGTGACTGGACCTGCAGGGTTCGAGAGAGGCAAACAAACAATCATATTCAGACTCAAACAAACAAACCCAGTGTGACAGAGCCATAGTTAACATTTTGTGGTCGGTGCATGCTTTTACAAGTGATCTGATGCACATGTAAAGGTTTTAATTCTCTCCATCAGAAAGAAAAATTCACCCAGGTTTCATACAACAAAACAGAAACTTGTCTGCACAAGATGCACTCTTTTTTCACAAGACCTGCTTTTGTTTGGCTAGCTGGCTAATCGGTAGGGACGCAAACCAAATCATGCTACACCGTGGCTAGCCTGGCTTCCGCTGCACGCCACCGAGCTTTACGAGCTGAGAGGCAGAATTTATCCCCGACAGGCAGCTTCTCCCAAAACTCTTCATCCACTTTTCTCCACCAGGAACTTCTTCTTTATCCTCATAAACACAGAGAAAGACTTTGTGTTTCTTGCTTTTAGTAAAGCTTTGTATTTAAAGCCTTGTGTGATGAAATTGAACTTTTAGCACAAAGGTTTCACTGAGGTATCGCAGCAACAGGAGCAAACATGTTTCCAACAAGCATCTGTTCACTGCTAACCAAAGAGGTTCCCGGTGGATGCAGAGCTGTAGTCTGTCGTTTTTTTAATTCTGCCCGTCTCTGGTTTCTTAGAAACTTTTTTATCCTCTAATTCGTTCCCAGTTTGATTTTTATAGTCTGTCCAGGTCTCTGTCCCACCCTTACGGACTCTGCTGCTCCATGTTATCAATCAAAGGCTCTTTCTTCATGAACTGCAGATGTCTCACGGACCTCCACACCCCGACATAGCTGTCACTAACAGACTGACTGGAGGTGGTGTTCTCCTTTTGGAGGTGCTCCCTCTGCATCTCCAGCACCTCTTTTTCCGTCATGACACAAGAATTCACACCCGCCTCTGATGTCCACACTTCTCCATTAGCCAAACTGGCCGGTGCCGCCTCCTCCTTCCCGTCTCTGCTCAACACTCCCTCTATTTCCGGATTTCCCGGATCAGACCCGGCACCATCCACAGGTCCATCACCATTCAGCGGCGGTTTCTCTTGATACGGCTCGCCAGGTAGCTCGCCATCCTTCCCAGCCTCCTCCAGGTCCTCGTACAAGCTCTTCTTCTTCGTCTCGAAGTATTTGACCACGCAGTAGATGATGGAGCCAACGGTGTTGACCACCACGCCGCCAATGAACAGCCCGGTTGGTGCAACATCACTGAACGCCAGCATGCCAACGGTGATGGTGGCAATGCTCTTGACCACACCAACAAAGCTGGTGGTGACGGCGGAGTTGATGTAGGTGCAGTGGAGTGTGGTGAAGTTCATGGCACAGCCGATGAAGACACAGATGATGAAGATGACAGTGATGTGGGGGTCCTTCCAGCCCTCGTATGACCACATGTTGATGGTGTCCAAGGAGATGATGGAGCACACCAGGAGGACCTGGGAGAACAGCAAAGAGGAAAGAAGAGAAAAAGAGAGAAAAATAAGCTCAATATAAAAACAAGAGAAAGGAAAGTGAAAGACGAGAGTGCAGATTGGGAAAAAAAAACAGCGAGACAAGTAGAGACAAAACAAATTACGACAGAAGATTAAAGAATAAAGTGAAAAACAGTAATAAAAGAGGCAGACACAAAAACAGCACAGACAGTAAAAGAAAGAGGGGGAAAAGCAAGTAGAAAGAGAAATGAATGTATGTATAGAAAGAAAGGAAAAGGATGAGAGAAAAATAATGGAAGGATGTGAAATTGAGACATATAATATGAAAGACAAAAAACAATGAGAAGTAAAAGAGGAGAGGAGATAGAGGAAGGAGAAAAGAGAAACAAAGATAAAACAATAATAAAAAGGGTCTGAAATCAAACAGAAAAAAGATATAAAGAAGAAGCAAGCTATAGAGACAGAAACATATAAACTAAAAAGTGAATAGAGGAAAAAAGTGAGGACAGAAAGACAATGAGAGCGATAGAAAGGTAAAGAAAGCAACTAAAAGCAGAAAAAGAAGATTAGAGTTGGAAACAGAATAAGAAAGAGATGTAAAGTCAAAGAAAGAGAAACAAACAAAAGGAAGTGGGAGAAAAGGACAAGGGAAACTGAAGAAAGATAGAGAGAAGAAGTAAGAAAAGAAAAAGATGAGCTAAATGGAAATCTAAAAATTAGAGAAGTAAAACTTCTCGGTGGGAATCAACCCCGACCCTCTGCAGTGTCCCGTACCGGAGAGGCCATGACGGCGATGGCGTACTGCGCCGTAAGCGGCCCGTATTCACTGTCCAGACTGGTTTTCTGGATCACGACCAGGTAGGAGGCATGGATGATGACCGCCAACACGCCAGTGACGTAACCGAAAGGATCACCAGTGAGATCCCCCGCACCTAAGGGGGGGAATCAACCAAGATTCAAACAAGAAAAATAAGGTTGACTGGTTTTCATACATATACATCTGCTTTAGACCCTAACCCTGCTTGGATGTTATAGTAGTCAGTGAGCTCCACAGCGTCTCCGTCTCACACTGGATGTCATTCACATTCAATAACAATAACATGAAACACTTACAAACATTTTATTGGCTCATATGTACATTTATGTTGTACAATAATCATGTGCAAGGAAATTAAACATTTTGTCAATAATGTCAATGATTGTCATTTTCCATGTCTGTCATTGTGCATGGACACTAATAGGATCATGGTTTCATATGTGTGAAGTTTTTAATCTCTCATGGTGCTCCGACACCAATTTGGTCAAACAGTCTTAGCTTTCCTATTATAACTCATCTTCTAAAACATGGCTGTCTGTTTTCATTTAATTTAGGTATCAGCTGTGCAGTGCATTTCATTGTTGCTGGTAGTTTTATAGCTGCTTTAATTTCCTTAATTCACCACTGACATCACATCATGTTACTCTGATTGTGATGGAAAGGCATGCTCTGATCATTTTGCATTCGGGCCTGGCGTTGACTCGTTTTCTCCTTTGTCAGTTCGCAGTACATCTCCACACAGTTTCAAACCATCTGATGTCCCAGCAAACTTTATAGCTAACTGACTTATAGCATCCTGGTCCTCCTGTTTTGAGAGCTTCTGTCAACTGGCGCTCCTCCTGCAGTTTCCTCAGAAAGGAAGCGCAAGCTTCCGGCTTCTTACGTGGCTGATTAGGCCGGATAATATTTAACTGATTAAAGGACAATTCCGGCGC